TTTTGGTCCACCAACAAAGGGAGACACTCTGTTCCCCAGAGATGATGTAGTCACATGTGGGAAGTTCGCTAGTTGCAGAGCAGCGTGCAGCCTCAAAGGGACGCTGGTAATTGCCGAACAGACAGCTTTAGTCACCAAACGACATCTCCAGCTGGTCTGGACACTTGTGTCCTGAGGGAGCACAGGTGCAGGGTTGAAGACTGACCCCGCCCACCAAGTGAGGAGGTCCCGTCCCTCTGGGGCCATTGCCACCCTTTCCCTGGCTCCGCTGACCTGGGCTGGTGAGGAGACATCAGACACACAGAGTCGGTTCCGCCCAACTCGTTCTTTACAAAACGGCCAGTCTTGGTTATATGATGCTTCTCTTTGAAAGAATAAAGGGCAAGGGCCTTGTGACGCCCCCGCTGGTTCCGGTGACCAGGCTGGGTGAAGACACACACAGATGTCCCCTGACAGGGTGCTGCTCAGCTTACACATCTCCCCCTCTGGGCGGTCAGCCCCCAAAATGCCTCACCTCCCAGATAGTTGGAAATGTCATTCTTTCTAAATTAAACCCTTCAGGCTATAGTTTAATTAAGCTCGTCTCCTCTTCTGCAGATGGAATTCAGATACATTTTAGGCTTCAGCTTGCAAAGTGGAAAGAATGTTGGATTATGGAGGCTGGGACTCTTCCTCAATTCTGTCACGTGCATGCCCGTTTGACCTTCAGCTTACATGTGAACTTCCCGTGGCTCTGATACCTTCCCGGTGACAAGGACCGGGCTGGGTCACCCGCTGTCCTCCAGCTTGGACACTCTTTGGTCCCTTTGTTCATTTACGTCCTGGGCAGGGACACGTCCACATCTCCCCTAATTTAGCAGGTTGTTCATCAGATAGATGCTGTTTGCCACGGCACCCGAGCAGGTGCCTGTCCTCCAACCCCACCCCGTCACGGCCAGGTGCAGTCCTGGTCCTGTCCCCACAGGTGAGAGAAGGATATTACTGCTGCCCGGAAGCTTCCTTGAAGTCATGGGAGCATGTTCTGGAGATCCCACCTCTTGTGCTGTGCTACAAAAAATCGCTACGTGAATTCACATGCACTAAAACACACATACCCACACAGATGTCCATGTGAATTTCGTGGGAGAGAAAGAGAACACGGCAGAACAGGTTCAAAGGTCTCTGGTGCCCCAGCCCTCCTTCCCGCACGCAGCTAAGTGCAAGTAACACAATTCACGTTTTACAGGTGGGTGTGAGTGAGTTTACGGCGCAGCGTAATGAGTCAGCGCAGGGTGGGAAGGGGTAGGTCGGGGCTCAAGGAACCCAGAAAGACTTAAAAGAAAGAAAGAGGTAAAGGTCGGTGGAGTGAAACTTTCAGTGAGCTGGGTGGGACAGGTAGAAACCACACGGAGGCGTTTGTGTATTTGAATAAAAAACATTCTTCCTGCTTTTATTTGAGCAGGATCTGAGCTTTGCGTTTCTGGCTTTGTTTAGTTTCAGCATACATCTTTCGATGCTTTTACGTTCTTCGAGTTATGATTAATAGAGTCACTTCAGGCAAATTTCAGAGATTTATTTCTGAGTATGAGTATTCATAAAATGCCTAGGTGTTTGCACGCTGGGCTCTTTCCTCCCACGCGTCCATGGAAATACATGAGATCTTAGGAATCAAGACACAGGCAGTACAAGGGACACAAAAAGCTTTTGAGACGCTTTTCTAAGTGCTTTGAAATATAGTGGTGCTTGTGCTTTGTAGTTCTGCCTCTGCGAAGAAACAGGAAAACGTACAAGTCCAGGAATGATGGCATTGCAACAGTCCGGGCCCACACGTGGCTGGCGGTGAAGCCGGTCGTGTTGACCTGTCTGTTAACCTGTCCCGCATGGCCGCTCTGATTTTTTTTTTTTTTCTTTTTCTTTTTTTTTTTTAATTTTTTATTAACGTTTATTTATTTGTGAGAGAGGGAGAGACAGAGTGCAAGCAGGGTAGGAGCAGAGAGAGAAGGAGGTACTGAGTCCGAAGCAGGTTCCAGGCTCTGAGCTGTCAGCACAGAGTCTGACGATGGGCTCAAACCCCACAAAACTGCATGAGATCATGACCTGAGCTGAAGTCGGACGCTCAACCGACTGAGCCACCCAGGCGCTCCGCCGCTCTGATTTTTTTAAAAAAACTTTTAGGTTTATTTATTTACTTTGAGAGAGAGCATGAGCAGGGGTGGGGCAGAGAGAGAGAGAGAGAGAGAGAGAGAGCCCTAAGCAGGCTCCACATTGTCAGGACAAAGGCCATTGCAGGCTCAATCTCATGAACCATGACATCCTGACCTGAGCTGAAATGAAGAGCTGGGGGGGGGGGGGGTAAGCGACCGAGCCCCCCGTGTGCCCCCGGCCCCTCTGGTTGACTTGCAGGCACGGAGCTGTCTCCTGCCCCGCACGCGGCTTGCTCCTGCACTAGCCCGCCTTTTTGCCGAGTGTCCTCCCACTGAGGGAACGCCAGGCTGAGAGGGAGGATCCTCAGGAACTTTCCCTGCCCCGTGCTGAGGGCACCTGGGACGCCTTTCCTCGTCACTCGTGCCCCCTCCTTGTATTTCCCGGGACGCACACAGCGGCATCTGCAAAGGAGCTCTCAGGCGTGGGCGCTCGATGGCGTTCTGGGTGGGGGACAGAGGCGTGGAGCCCTGTTCGGCAGGTGCCGCGGTTTCTGGGTCTCCCCACAGCAGTGAGCCTCCCAGATGCAGAGTAGACGCTGCTTTTGTGACTTTCGCCAAGCACGGCCACCCCAAGGGATCACCAAAACCTCTTCCTCTCTTCCAGCCGACGTTTCACAGCTGGACTGCACAAAGCTCCCAAATTCTCAGAGGACACAGGGCATAGTTGAAAAACACGAGGCCGCTGGACGTTTCAGTGCCCATCCCTGACCCCACGTAAAGCAGTCGAGGACATTTAGAATGCAGTGAGGTCATAACTGTAAAAAGGCAGGGACAGAACTGTCACCAGTGGGAAGTCTGAGGAGGAGAGCTAAAAAGACAAGCCTGCCCCTTGTCAGCCCACCCTGCCTCCCGTCTGATGGAGACCGTTGACTCAACGGCAGAAGCAGAGAACTTGAAGAAAAGCCGGAGGCCTTGTTAAGTTCTCGGAAGGAAGGCAGAGGAGCTAAGTGTCCTGTTTGTCCAGTGTGTCTGGTTTCTACTGCTCAAAGCCCCGTCTCCGGGGTAAACCAGCTTAGTCCCTGAAGGTGGCCCCCTGCTGAAGCCGGGGGGTCATTCTGATGCCCAGGAGCTCATTCAGCCCTGGCTTCTGCCCCTGGGGGAGGAGGCCGAGGAGATCTCAGCCCAGCTGGAAGAGAAGGAGCGGGGCGGAAAAGTATACTTGCTACGGAACAGTGCAACAGGAAAGACCGTAGGAGTGCGTGTGTGTGTGTGTGTGTGTGCGCGTGTGCATGCATGAGTGTTGGTGAGTGTGCATGTGTATTTGTGGGTTTCTGTGTGTGCAAGTACCTGTGTGTGCACGTGTGTGTTTGCGAGTTTGAGTGTGCATGCAGGCATGCATCTCTGTGAGCGTGGGTTTGCATATCTGAGTGCTGTGACGGTGTACCTGAGTGTGCGTATGTATGCCTCTGCGAGTTTCTGTGAGCATATGAGTGTGTACATGTGTGTCAGTGAGGGAGTGTGGGCGTGTGTTTTCCACCGACGTACAGGCATGAGAGGATGCAGAACTCGTAGTTCACGGCACTGACACTGATGTCCAGGAGCCCCTGGGTCACCAGCGCAGTGAGCTGCGACTACCCGCTGGGGACAAGGTTCTCGTGATCAAGGCAGGACAACACGGGCCGGGTGGGTGGATAGGTGTGACCTTGGCATGTGCTGGCACTTGTGAGTCAGCAAAGGACACGGCGGGGACACGAGGAGAGCATCTCGCAGCTGTGACCAGAGCCCTGTCTCCAGAAGTCTGGCCCCTGCAAGAATAGAACGTTACCAAGAGAGAATTCATGAAGCTGTTTCCAGGTCCCCAGGGAACTTTCTAGATGCATGTCTCCCCTGTGCAGACAGTGATGTAGGATGACTGGCCGATCGACCGTTGCATGGATGTGAGACGTCTCATTTGGAGAGACTCCTGATGGGAGCCATCCTATGGTGCTGGTCACATGACGGGATGTCTAGGAGCTGCCTGATAAGCACTGTGCACGGACACCCAATTTTAAATGTAGGCATCTTGGGGCACCTGGGTGGCTCAGTCGGTTAAATGACCGACTTCACCTCAGGTCGCAATATCTCGGTTCGTGAGTTCGAGCCCCGCATCGGGCTCTGTGCTGACGGCTCGGAGCCTGGAGCCTGCTTCCAATTCTGTGTGTCCCTCTCTGTCCCTCCCCTACTCGTGCTCTGTGTCTGTGTCTCTCAGAAATAAACATTAAAAAAAAACCGTGGGTGCCTGATGGGGTGGCAGTCACCCCGATGACGAGGTGGGTTCGCACGGTGACCTGAAGGAGAGATCACACGTGGCGGCACGCGGCTTCGGAGCCGAGAAACTTTTGTCGCACGCCTCAGCCCAGTACAGGCTCAGCCTTTCACGCCAGCACTGTAACCATTCAGTTCCCAAAGTGCACAGCCTGACACACCACCAGCCATGAAGTGTGCTTGCATTTAAAAAGCGTGTCTCATGTGCCCGCACGATTTACTCTCCTGCTCTGAATGTTCAACTGTTGAAGGAACAGCTTCCTGGGATGCCAATAAAACAAAGTTTGACACCCGGCCTCCCTCTTTCCCGCCCCGCTGAGCCACATTTCGGTACGGAAACCTGTCCCCTCCAAAGTAGCAGCTGTGCGAAGCCCCACAGGACCACGCTTGGGAACGGGCATGCTGGCCTCACCCACCGTGCCAGACTGGAAAGCCTGCACCTCGTTTCCGTCTCGGTCCGCACGGTGACACAGCCGACCGGGCATGTCAATAATAAATACCTTGAAAACCCAGTCTAAGCGCCTGGTTAGAAAAAAGGCCGTCTCAACCCTGTTTTTCTTCCTCACCCTACAGTGCCTCGTCTTTGAAGACGCTCCCAACGGCGTGGACGCGGCCCTTGCAGCCGGCATGCAGGTGGTCATGGTTCCAGACCGAAATCTGCAGCGCCATTTGACGTCCAAGGCCACGCTGGTGCTGGATTCCCTGCAGGATTTCCAGCCCGAGCTGTTTGGTTTGCCGCGCTACGAGTGAGCGGCCCGCCGTGGCCGCTGGCACCCAGGCAATCACCCCGTGAGCCAGCGGTCCTCCCAGCCCGTTATGTGTGGCTTCCCATCCCACGTGGGCTTGGCCTCCTCTGGCCGGTGCTGACAAACCGCGGCGTCACAGCTGAGACACGGCAAAGCAGATACGGCCCGCAGCGCAGACCGAAACGCTCACGTGCATAGTCGTAGAGTGCGTGAATGAACACACGGTGTCTCGGTGTTTGAGGAACCCTGTAGCAGTCACACACGGCAAATGGACAGACGTACACATGCTTGTGAGCGCCTGTTCATGTATGTATATGTGTGCGTATGGACAAATACATGGGCGTTTATAGGTATGTGTTTACATACGCCCGTGTGTATGCAAATACTAACGTGTCCACCACAAAATGAAATTATATGTGTGTTCATTTCTGCCTGCCTTTTTAGTTTTTGTGTTTTTATTTTGTTTTGTTTTGTTTTGTTTTGTTTTGTTTTGTTTTGTTTTAGAGAGAGGGAGAAAACCATAAGCAGGGTCCACACTCAGCACAGAGCCCTATGCAGGGCTTGATCCCACAACCCGAGCTGAAATCAAGGGTTACAGATTCAACTGAATGAGCCACCCAGGAGCCCCTCTTTTACTTTTTCTAAATCCTAGCTGGAAAATGTAAAAAATGCGTACATATATGTATATGGTTACGTATATACATATGTATATATGTATGTACATATATATTTATATGTTTCCTATGCTATTTTCTTTCTTAAGTATTGGTCGTAATGTGCCAAAGGAGCTGATAAACGTGAGATGGTAATCGCATTTGTTCTGCAATCTGAGTGGAAAAGCCATGTCACGGATGAGCCCTGAGAAATCATCCTCATTATCAGCAGAATTCATGGTCCTTCTGTGCCCTCAGAACCTCTCTGTGCACCTCTACTCAGACACCACCTCTGAACCGTGACATCCTGAGTTTCTTTTCAGTGTGAGCATACCTGAAGCCCACATCTTATTACGTCTACGTGCACGTCCACATCGGAGGATGTCCTTTCTACCTCAAAAAAATAAAAATAAAAAAATCATCCCCGAGTCTAAAAACATGTATTCTTTCTAGCACAGTCTTCGATGCACATATAACTTGAATTCAGAATGCATGCTTACCACGACCGAGAGCCTTATTAGCACATTTTTGGAATAATTCTACTCTGGCAGTGAGCTCCTTTTCATAGATTTACTTGATGTTTTGTGGTGGGAAAATTGAGAAAGGCACTGGAATATGCGAGAAGAACGCAATCCCAGGGTGCATCTGGCCTGCTGGTGTGTCACACATGGTCGTTGAGCAAATTTCCAAGTGCAAATGGTGGAAAAATGCTGGTGATGTATTTCAGGGTACATCTGTTCATGCCTTGCCTCCAGCTGTTGACCAGTTTTGTATCCATTCAGAGATTCATTTCAGCATTCATGATCGCCGGTGTATGGATCCGCTCTCTGAATTCTCCCTCAAGCTGCTTGTAACGTCTTACCGGATCCCTCGCCAGTTAATCAAGTTGAATAAAATCTTTGACGCTGGTTCGACATTACGTTCCTATGGGAGTTTCATTTCAACCTTTTTAAAAACATATATCCTCTAACAAACATAAAACATACGTGTCACTTTTTGACCTTTTTTCTTTTTTTTTTTTTTTTTTAAAGCCAAACAGTACTCACACCATAAAATGGCATTCGTGTATTATAAGGACACATCGCTGTCTTTGCCTGCAACAGAGGCTGTGAAATGGTCACTTGTTGGGTTTGGGATCTCCTTCCAAAATATGTGTGTTTTATAATTCTTAAAAAAAAATTTTTTTTTAATGTTTATTTATTTCTGAGACAGAGACAGAGCATGAGCAGGGGAGGGGCAGAGAGAGAGGGAGACACAGAATCTGAAGCAGGCTCCAGGCTCTGAGCTCAGCACAGAGCCTGATGTGGGGCTCAGACTCGCACACTGTGAGATCCTGACCTGAGCTGAAATTGGACTCTCAACCTACTGAGCCACCCAGGCGCCCTGGTGTGTTTTCTAATTCTTAAGCCATTTTGCATCAATAACACAAATGCTTCTCTCAATGACGTATTTGTAGATTCCTGTGCACTTTCCCCTGGGGTAAATTTGATATCAGATACATCGCTGTTACTTTTGTTCTTCTAACCAAGATGGCGGTGACACTCTTACTTTTTTGTACAAAGGAAAGTACTGGTGGTTGGCCAAGGCACACCCGTTCTTGCTTATTGTCCTGCATCATGCTGATGGCTTCAGTGCCTTTTAGTGATGGGATCACACTAACCACCCATCCGTCTCACAGAGGTATAATTAAACACAATGGAGATCACAGTGACTCCTGCCGAGAAAGTTTCAAGGATCATCGTGCTTTCTTAGTGCACTAAAGTGTGCTCTATTAGGGACATGCAGGGATCAGGGGACTACACAGGGTTGCCCTCACGGGCAGCTAGTGTTTGCCCATCCGCTGTACCTTTTCGGAAGCATTTGGTAGTGATGATGTCCCTGAGAGGTGACGCTGTCGGTCTGTTCTTAATTCCCCATCAGTGAAACATATGTAACATTTGGAAGGTCTTACTAATCGCTGTGTCTTAGAGTTCTACCAATTAGCGCTCAGAGTTCAGCGACCTGTAGACGAGAGGAGTTCTAGTAGAGACCTGCTTTACACTGGAGAGAATTGTCTTATCAAGACACACAGTCGGTTGAGCGTCTAACCTCGGCTCAGGTCATGACCTCACAGTTCATGAGTTTGAGCCCCGCATCGGGATTTTGTGCTGACAGCTCAGAGCCTGGCGCCTGCTTCAGATTCTGTGTCTACCTCTCTCTCTGCTCCTCCCCTCCTCATGCTCCGTGTCTGTCTGTCTCAAAAGTAAATAAACATTAAAAAAAAAAGACACACGGATCGTTTCTGCTGTGCAACAGTGTTCAGTGCTTGGCCACTGAGGTTCCTGTTTCTTTGAGTATAATACTTTCACGCTGAATTTCCCATGCTTCGAATGGTGTTACCAATGTTTAAAAATAAATTTGCACTTGGAACGAGTTTTATAATAAAAATTGTGTATCCATTCCTCTACTTAATGTTGTGTACACTCCCTTATTCCACAGGATGAAGTCCAGAACCTCTTTGGCCTTATATGAAGGCGTTCTGATCTAAGTTTATCCCTAGCGGTCTTTACAGTTATTATCAATCATTATTATCATCAGCAGCAGCATCATTATTGCCATAGTTTGTAAAGAGAAGATGAAGTGTGGTTTGGCAAAGGATTTCCAGTTGGAGTTCAAATCAGATCTCACCTCCACCACTAAAAAGTTGTCACCCCCACCTCTGATTCCTTGCCCGTGACATGGGGGTAACGTACGCTCTAGGGCGTTGGGCTGAAGAAGTGACTGACGTCACACGTGGGATGGGAATAAACACAGAGCTCTAGTCGTTCCCGTGGATTAAAGAGATTTGATTGACAGATGATACCTGGTGATGGAAGACCAGATAGATCTTCAGGACAGCTCACAATATTCGGGTTTCCCGTGAGTCTCTTTAATAGTATGTTGTGCACATAGCACTTGTGTGTCCTTCCTTAGCCACAGGATGTGATCACTATTGTAACTTTTCATCAGAAACACTCATCCGGATTGAGTTAACTCAAGAGAGATTATTTACGAGCTACTTGGAGGGCATCACAGGACACGTACAACCAAGAGACACCGCATCGGAGGGTATTTATCAAGTGCGTACACTGTGAGGTAGAAATGTGTGAGTTGCACCCACATCATGGTGCCGCCTCATGTGATTGGATTGCCCCTCGAATCAGCTAATTTGTTCTGTGCATCTTTTGACCCGAGTGGTGGTGAAACGACTAAACAGTCACCTCTGTCTTCCTGGTTCTCCACAGAACGGCAGGTGCCTCACACAAGGTGGTTTTGGAGACTGAAACTGTCCCATTAGTATTAAGGCATTGTATCAAAGCATTGCTTTTTGTTGACTGAAACCCACGATTACCAAATTCTACGTGCATTTCTCCCACATCCCATGCGAAAGTATTTGCAACTAGTTGCCATGATCTTGGTAATATATTTCTCTAGGGCATACAAATTATAAACGACTATTTACATATTCTAATGTCTCTAGTCTCTTAACAAGCATGAGGCATTGGGAAACATGCCATCAAATATATGTACTTATGAAAAACCTGAATAAAGGGATGAGTTTGTGTCATATATAACACAAAGTCACTTAAAATGGCTTATTTTCAAAATCCATTCTAGGAAAGAGTGGGTATGCATTTGATACTCAAAGTCTGAATAAATTATGGATACATATTTAACTAAATAAGAGCTATCTTTGCTATGTTAGGTGGGTACTAGGTGGTAAAACAGACATTCCGTGTAAAATTCTACAACAAAAATGGAAACCAACTAATCAGTAAACTTGTATCATTGTTCCAGAAATCTCAGTCAACAGGGCTATTGAGTGTTCACATAGATGGATTTGATGATGACAGATTATCTCGGTTGTTTGTCTAAACATGCCCATCTCACCACTTTTTAAGGCTGGCTTCACTGGATGTTGAATTGTGGTTTGAAATGAATTTCCTCTTACTCTTTAAAGATACAGTTTCCTGTTCTATGGCTTCCATCATTTTGATTAAATTACCAGTTATTGGTCCTACGTGTGTAAGCGGTCTGTCTCTTTTCTCCAGCTGCTGCTAAGATTTTGTTCATGGTCTTTGGTCATCTGAGGAATGGTTTGCTTTGATCCACGTGAACTCTGTAGATCCCCTCAGTCTGTGGCCTGCTTAATGTATCGCTAAGCCACTCGGTCACCATCTCTTCCAGCACACCCAGGCTTACCTCTTGGGGTCCCTTCCACACACCCAAAGAGAAAAGGGTGAACTCTTGGCCGTGCACGTAGCCGTGAATTGTGCACAGGCCTGGGCTGTGCCACCACTGAGAGGGCTGGGGGACTGGGGAGATGAGTGAGCTGGCAGGATGGGTGAGAAACTAGTGTCGGCATGGCCTCTGGGATGGCTTGGAGTCC